AATTTAGCTCTCATACACTTACACATTTTGTACTGCCAGGATTTGGAATTTTGACTACACTAGGCAGCAATTATGCTAATTACATTTGCAAAGTATCTTTTGTATGTGGAATTTCTAGAAAAATAATTTAGGAATAATAGCTTTACGATCAGCTGATAGAAAATCTGAAATTTATAGGCTCTTCCCAAACTGAATAACCCTCCTACATACTGCATATAAAATCCAAAGCATAAATTGGGTTGCAAGCCCCTCACAGAAGTGAGAGCTGCCCAGCTGAGAGTTTGTCTTCACTCTCAGATGTGTCTGCATCCTGATTGTCAGACTGACCCACACTCCCCTTCATGCTTCAACATGGAATAGAATTTGCAAGGAACCATTCTTTTGGCCAAAGTTCATTCCTGCCAGATTTGTCCTTCTCTGACTCCAGCCAGCTGTAAAAGGTCTCCAGTGGCATTTGACAGACCGTGTGTGAAGTAAGTCGCACCCTGTGTCCAATGGATGTAGGTCACTGAACCAAAAAGAGTTTTGTACTTTTACAGATGATAGTGTCACACTTGAGTACAGAGAAAAAGAGCAGAGCCCCTACTGCTCCCTTGTTTTAGTTGTGTGCTTTCTCTTCACGTTCCCAGCTGTCCTCTAAACCCACCTGAGCAACTGGTATCATCTGGTTATTCTGGTATTTGGCTTATGTAGTTGGATTGTCACCAACTGCACCCCTATGAGTATTTGTCTGAGTAAATCCAATCAGCTAATGAAATTGTGGTCCTTCCATTAAGTGATTATCAAATTCCTTGTATGGTTACACTAGCCCATCTCTTCCAACACTGCATACTTTTGTTTAGCCAGGCAGTCTGTGCCTGACCCCTTCCTTGCCTTTCCTGAATGTCCATTTTTTAACTTCACAGGCATTTAGTATATAAAAAAAATAATATATATGATTTATTTGGAAAGGTGACCTTTTTATCTCTTCAGAGTCAAGTACCATTCCTTTAAGTTTATAGGGTAATTATTTGGTTTTATTTATTTATTTTCTTCTACAAAACCAATTTTATATATTCAAGTATAAATGCTTTGTAGTATCTACTGGATTACACTTAAAAGTGAGAGGTATTTCTTCGACTTGAGGGTTCCATGCTGCAGTATCTGCTTTCCTGTGGTAGCCCAGTGAGGTAGTGTACTGTACTGCCATACAAAATCCAGAATAGTGGAGCTTGTGCATGTCCGAGGCTGTGCATCAGAAATAAAATTCCTCCTCTGCAGAGAAATTATGTCTATTTAGGAAAGATCTTTATATAGCAAAGGTTTTTATTTTGGAGGAAGAAATCTGTTTGCATTAGAGAGATCTGTTGACTTTGGCAGAAGCCTCCTGAAATCAATAGATTGTTTCTTTTACATACAGAACACTGAATAAGCCTCTAAACGAGAGAGGTTTACTTGTCTAGACTTTACCCTAATGGCATCTTCACTTCATTTTCCTGATAAAACCTTTATGGTAAATTCAGTAACCCCTCTTTATCAAGATTGCCAGCCTTCAAATGATTTCAAAGACAGGATCTACTTACTTATACATTAGCAATACTTGATCCATCCATGATTTGTCTTTCTTGTGTTAACTTTGAGTAGGAGGGAGTCTGCAATCAACGTTTATAACTGCTGGTTCTGTGGTGCTGGCAATTCCACCACCCCCAGATTGACTGCTGATTTTGAGGGGTCCAAACCACAGTGAAATGTGTATCACAGTGCCCATAAGACATATAACAAAGCGTAAGCCCCAAAGCAAGTAGTTTCAGGAGAGCATGGGCACTCCAGTTGGTTTCCTCCTCAGTTGCTGAGTAGCTCCCTGTTGGGTCCTCTTGTCCACGAGGCACAGATACAGATGGGATGTAAGGATTTTACTTAATTTCTTCTGCTCATGCAGTGAAGGAAGAATCTCATAATTGGAAATGAATTAATTTTTGAGAAAATGTTTTAAAAGGCTGCAGCCAGAGGGAGGACTATTAGAGAAAAGAGTTCAGATAAATGAAGTTTGGTAAAATTGCTAGCAACTGGAACTGTATATTGAAATGTAATTGAAACCTATTATTAGAGGTATTGAGCATTTTTATTATTCAGAGTAGTGCTACCAGTACTGCATATAGTACTGTGAGCTCTTTTTTAGCAGTTAAGGACAGTAGCCTTTGGTCTTTTTAACTGTGTTCTGAGATTCGTGGGTTTGATATTCTATTCCTGCAAGCCTCTACAATGCAGGAATGAGACAGTTTGTACAAGGAGCATCTGGGAAACAGCATAATAGTGCTGGCACTCTTCCTTGGGGTTTTCTCCTCTTGCATAAAAATGTAAGAATGAACTACATCCCATAAATCCAGCAAAACCTTTGAGTGAGAAAGACAAGCACAGTCTGTGTTGCGGAAGATCTTTCAGCATCTACAAAAATTGAAAGGAGAGTTGTATTCTTTCCTCCTGCAGCCATTTCTCAGCTTCATCCTCAGCTTCATCCTCAACCATCTGTATAACAGGCTGGTGCTTGGGTAACTGCTGGGCAGCACAAAGTCCTTTCTCACAGCAGCCTGTAGTGCAGAAGTTCCTTAGGGTGTCCCAGAGCAAATATCTTGCCTTTGGTTTTCTTTCCCTGTAAGTTGCTAAGATGGGAGACATAAAGGATAGTAACATTTGGAATTACTTGACAAGTAAGTGCTAGCACATTTGAATGTGCATATAGGAGGTGTAGTTGTAGGATGGTATACAAAGATAGAGTTTTGGCCCATGACATCCCAGATGGGAATGGCACACCTGGCTCTGCTTCTGGATGTCAATCTGGCTGCTGCACTGACATAACATACAAGTTCCAAGGGGAACCCTTGACATGACCAGCCCTGTCACATAGTCTTTCCCTGCTAGAAATCTTTTTAAGAGAACAGAAGAAAATGCCACCTCACTCTGCTGACCTCCTAACAGGATTTACTGTAAGAAGCAGATATTTCACTGTACTGAGTTGGTACTATTCATTATGGTGCAATGAAAGTGCATGAGAGCCCTCACTGAAGCCTTCTTACCTGCCAGTCCCTATCAGCACTAATAACTTTCAGTGGTCATGCATGATTTTTATAGACAATAAACATAATCTTCTTTTCCCCTTTATGAATTCTTTCAAGAGCCCTATGTGGTTCCTTCCCAGTGTAATATTATGGGATATGTTAAGGACAAACTATCACTTTTTTTGCCTTTTTTTTTTTTTGTTTCTGCTCTGCCACAAATCCTGCTTCTTTTGATGTTGTGCAGAAATGTACTACTACTTCACAAAAGTCTCTGTTTACTCACTATTTCAAACCAGAAAACATGTAGATGTAGAATTTAACTTGTACCTTCTCTGAGAATGCTGAGACTAGAGATGAGTAAACATGCTTTCAATAGCTCTGGAAGGAACTTTTTGAGTCTCATTGTGGGTTTTGTATACTTTGAGTTGTATTTCTTACCAGTACTTTCAGCTTTCTGCACCATTATACTTTCTTACAAATATTTATATGTAAAACCCCCCCAAACTACTCTTACACCATATTTCTCTTCTTCTCATTCAGAAACTGGCTGGTTTCAGAATAGATTTATTTTAGAAGAGTCCCATATGGAGCGGGTGCCTTGATGGGGAGGAAGTGTGACTGTGCTTTCTCCACACCACTGCCTTGCTCCAGGGGCGCTTACAATATTCTACTGTGATCTTGTCTAAAACACTTTAGCATTCTTCTTCTCCATAAAACAGTATGATGTGCTATGAATTATGTATTTACAGTAAGGCAGATGTGTCTGTCAGTTCAGTCATGAGATACAGTGGTGTGGTTTTTTGCCTCTAAGTGGTTAACTATTGCAAAAGGTTCTTTTTAATGCCTAGAAATCTATTTACTTTATTTTTCTTTTTAGTGTAGTGGAAAATAAATCTTAAACATTTCTTCTGTTATCTAGCACTTTAAGCCTTTTCATAGCATTTATAACATCTCTTTGCCAACACTCCATCTGTGATTTTAGCTTGCAGGAAACACTTTGCAAATCTGTTATTAGCTTAGATGCAGAGAGATGCTGTTTAAATATTAATTGTAATTTCTCTCAAAAGTGCAGTCAAACCCACTCAGTCACTTGTGAAGTTCAATGAATGTTGAGGGGCAAGGAGTGTGTCACGGGTAGGGCCTGCTCTTAGCTGTAGCAAGGGTCCTACTCAAGTTACCAGTGCAAAGTAGAGAAGTGTCCTGATGCCCCCCTCCCCTCCCCCCAAAAGAAATAAAAAGGAGTAACTTTAAACAGTGAACAGACTTGTTGCACACTCAGTGGACTTGCTGCCAAACTGGCTGTGAGCAAGAGGAATGTCACACTGTGCTGGCAGGAAAAGATGAGATCCATCAGCTGTTTGAAATCCTAGTTATTGGGCACATACGCTTCTGGAGAACTTCAGTATTGCTCCATCAAAAATCACATCTCAGTAGAGACATTTATATTGGGGTTGAACCCTTCTCATCTCTTCAGTCATGATCCTCACCCTATTTAATTTCTTAATTCCACAATACTTTACCCTTTACAATAAAAATTTAAAAAGCAAAATATTATGTGTTTACAGGCATTTCAGTGAAGTTTTTGATAGAAGTGAGGATCACAGTATTTAACACCATCCAACCTGCTCATTTTCTGTGGATTAGCAGAGCATAGTAATTGTCATCTGCATATTCAATATAATGGAAAGATGATCAGCCCCATTAAAACCATATGATGTATTTTTTCTTCTCTTCTTTCTCCAGATGGTTACTAATCTTTTATTGGTGAGGTGGTTTGCCTATGGTGTAATCTGAGATTTTTCCTCTTGTTATTAGTGAGTTGCTTCTCTTTGTGTTTGCAGGTGGATTGAATTTTAATATGCTAAATTCTGTTAATTGCTTAGAATTTAGATGTTTTTCTTATTATCCTTCAAACGTACATTTAAAAAAATGACGTATTACCCACATATTCCTTCTATCTTGCAGCATTCTGTGAAGAAGGGTGCAGATATGGTGGAACTTGTGTAGCTCCTAACAAATGTCTCTGCCCTTCTGGATTCACTGGAAGTCATTGTGAGAAAGGTAAAGCTTTACTGAAAAACACCTTCTTTGGTAATGAGAAGTCTGGTATGTGGAAGAAGTAATTCATTTCTATTATTTCATTCTGATTGATGTTTTCTCTCCAGTGAAGATATGACTGTTCCATTTCTGCCTTTTCTGCTGAAAGTTTGTCTTGTCTGAAATTTGCCATGTTGAATTTTATCAGGGATGTTTCTGCTTTTGCTTCCAGCATGCACTTTTAGTTAATTAGAAGGGACATCAAATGAAAAATGTTTGCTCCACCAGTTTCCTGTGGTGCAAGCTCAAGGTTTCCTTCTGCTTCTGCTAAATTTGTTGTGCAAATTAGACCACAATTCAGATGATTGCTTTTCACTTCAAGTTATTGAATTATTAATATTTGATTTGTTTCTAAGTCACAGTTTTTATAGAATCATAGCCTATTCAAAGACATCTCACTAGTCATGATTAGATTTTGCCTGTTCCCAGATTTTTCTTTTTCAAAATCTGCTTCTGACAGCCTCATAGTTCTACCTTTCAGTTTGTTTCCCAAATAGCTCGTTCCTTGTCTACCTTAAATGAGGAGAAAGAGATCTTATCAAACTCCATACAGGACTCTTACTTTCTTTATTTAGCAGATCTGGGATTTTATTTTGGTTTGTGTTTATTTGGGTTATATATTACTTAACTAACTCAATGGGAGGTTTTTTTGCACTGCACGTTTGTTAATAACTGTTTACACATGTATTTGTTTTTGGATATGAAGTGGATTGTTAATGCAGGTTGTATGCTGTAGTATGGAGAAGATCATAATTGGTGCATTTTTTAAGGAAGAAATAAATGAAAACAGAAAAATGTTACAGTTAAATTAGTGGAACCACTTGTAACCCAGAGATTGTGCAGTAATTTGTGTGTTTGTTGATGTCACTTAAGTCCAGTTGTCAATAAATCTGCGTCAAATAGCTTCTGAAAACTGCTAAATACTTCTGTGGATGGAGTCAATCAGTGTATACTAAAAACCCATAGTTTCTAGTTGTCAGCGTTGTTTATTTAAGAATGAAGTCGGACATTAATATTTTCATCTCCTCTAGATAAAGTCTGAGTACTTAATTATTTTTGCCTGTAGCCTTGTTTTAAATAGGAAAAAGCCTCCAAAGTCTCCTGTCACCCAGCAGTAAGTACTGGTAATGTCACGGGGAAGTAATGTGAGGCATTCCTACCTCAGAGCCCTGCCTGCCGTGGCTCCCCTGCTGCTAATCCTTCCTGATGGTAACCCACGTGTAATTTGCTCATTCCTTCTAAAACATCTGTTACTCAGAGGCATCAGTACATTCAGAGGCATGCAGGATACTGGAGATGTGTTCTGTGTATGTGACTATATGGCACTGCCAGCGTTGCCCAAGGACGCCCTGCTTACCCATGTCACCATGGTATTTTCTGAAAAATCTTTTGCTGAGATTTTCTGCTGAGTAGCCTCAGAAAAGAAATGTAAGCAATAACTATCTGATGGCTGTGGAATGTGGTCTAGACATTGTTTACCGACAGGTGCATCTTTCACTGGTCCATGTAGATTGTTTCTACTTAATGACCAATGATGGTCTAGCTGTGTGGACTCTCTGAGAGTCACAGGTTTTTATTATTCATTCTTTTCCATTCCTTTTGAGCTTTCTGATAGATCCTTTCTCTCTATTCTTTTTAGTATAGTTTTAGTATAGCATTTAATGTAGTATAATATCATAATATAATAAATCAGCCTTCTGAAACATGGAGTCAAGATCCTCATCTCTTCCCTCGTCCTGGAACTCTTGAACACAACCACATACCCAAACTTCTCAGGTCAGATTTCAGCTCCTGTGCCTGTGATTCTTTCACCCAAGGGTCTCGGCGCATTCTTTTTTCTTAGCACTTAGCACTTCATATCTAGAGCACAGATTCTCTAAACTATTGAAGTGATGGTTTAAAATTGATAAATGGAGGACATAACCATTTTTGACTCCTGTGTTTTTCATGGCTTTTGTATTGTTTTGATCTACAATATGAGTTAGCACACCAACCAAAGGAAGCATGGCAGGTATGGTACTCTCATTATATCAAGCAATTTAGAGGTAGATGTCAGAAGGCAATAGTTTCTGTGAATAAAATCTATACAACTTGAACCAGAAGGCAATTTATTTTTTTCTTTGAAGATGTATAGAGTTTACTAGTATGCTACAAATCAAGATAATGATGCTAACTTTGAGAAATCTGTCATACAGGCTGGTTTGAGAATGAACAGGGCTTTGTGAATGAAAATTTGTCACATTTTAGTTGTGTTGGAGGGTTTGAAAACTTCAGCAGATACATCTTATGTCATATGCATATTTCAGTGGCTAAGTGCACATCAGATCTGTGAGAACAGCTTCAGCCTTCTGAAGGTTCATGTCTCGGCTCGACTAAACGTTCAGAGTAGAGAGGTGATGAACCACCTCTGAAGCAGGGTTCCTTTTGCTTCACTGATTACCCCGAACAGACATAGTGCTTTCAGTAGCAGGAGGCAGTTTAGTAAAGGCTTTCTTCTGCAGTTTGCTGCAGTTTTTAAAGGGCACCTAAGTATTCTAAGCCCATGTTTGTTTGTTCTCCTGTTACCTTTAACATTAGAAATAAGCCCTTTGTTTTATTTATTATATGGTACCACTCCCTCAATCATTATGACACAGACCTAAGACAATGAAGTGGTGGGACAACGATTTAAATCAAAGCCTAAATGTTCTTGGCAAAACCTTGTCTGGTGGAAGCTCATAGTGAAGTGAGGCATATCAGAAGTAAAGTGATGTGTTTTGGTCATGTATTAAATTTGCCACAGTGCATTTGAAAATGTCCTTCAAACTGACAACACAGCAACTTCTTATGCATTATTTGTGAGCTGAAAGGACTCGTCACCAGCTAAAAACAGTATGACCCAAATTGGCTTCAATGCCATGTAAAGGGTAAAATGAGCCAGTAATTACAAATGTTGTTGAAAAGCAGGTGTGTTTACTTCTGAATATGAATCATGTGTTATTCATAGTTTCTGACTGTCTGGTTGAAATTACGATATTAAGTTAATTAAAAATTCAGAGATATTTGAGAAGGGCAGGATTTATATCAGTAATTTACTCAGGTGAAATGAAAATACACATTTAAGGCTTATGTACAGATACATAATTCAACATGCTGCTAAGAAGAATTACCTCTTGCCATTCGCTTTGGTTGACATGAGAAATCATCATAACAGTTGTGGGGCTATCTTTCCTTTTTGAAGGTGAACCGCAAATTGATATTCACAGACACTGTCAAGTAATTCCTTTCTCCATCCATTCTTTATAATGCTGTTTCTTTAGGAATGAGCTTGATGCTCCTAACTGAATTTTTGTAACATTTAAGATCTGATTTTATCTTCAAAACACTTCTTTTTTTTTCATTTTATGTTTTTTTTCTGCCAGGGCTGAAATCTATGATCTCTGTGATCATTTCCATTTGATCATATTTAACACAGTTTTGATACTTGTGTTGGAAACCTTTGCTGTTGGAATTTTTAGTGTCATTGGTGTATGATTCCAGCATGATGGCTGAGCTGGAGATAGGCATCTGTAACTGTATGTAACACTGTGGGCTTGAACCCAGGTGCATCCTTGGCAGGGATCCCCGTTAAAGGCTTCTGAGAGACATTGTGATGTGCAGAGAGGAGGACAAATACAGTACTCTGTGAGAATTGCTGGCAGCATGAACTCAAGTGCCCCAATTTTGCATCCATCTCATTGTTTTACAACCTTTAAAACAGAAAAACTCTGGATAATTCATTGAGCTGCTTTTTTCTGTCTGTGGATGGACAACAGGTCAGTGGAGTTTTAATGCTGGTTTTGTGGACAGGTTCACAGTTATTCTGTATTTGTGGAGTGTTAGTCACTACTGCTACTGATGAAGTGGTAAGGATGAGATAGACAGGACACCCTATGATGTCAAAGGTAGGAGTAAACAGATGATTGAATGCCTGGAAATTGTAGGCATTCCTTGAACACATGCCTGCATGTGCTGGTGTCCTGTGCATGGGTCTAAGAAATGCAACTGAACGCTCTGGGATCTGACCAGTGGTGGGAGTTGTTTACAGTGTCTGTCTGTACAAATTATAACTTTGGGTGATGAGTTCAAAACTGCAGAAGGGTTTGATGCAGTGGGCTCCCAACCAGGGGCATAGAAAGGGAAGCACAATATTTTTCCAGGGACTGCAGGAGGGCTTTTGGCAGTGGGAGAGCATTGCCTCCAAAACAGATTAAACATAAGTGCACCACAGTTTTTCTCCCCTATCTTGTGACAGCTGCTGTCTGAACTGGTACACAATAAATGGGAGTATGCTTCTGGTACATTAGAAGGGTTTTGTGTGGGCTGGAGCTCATGGAGGCGGATATATCTGTGATAGCAGCATGTGTGTTGAGTCTTTGTAAAGCACTGAAAAATATGTTCTCACATAAAGAATGACAGACAGATGTCAAAGAATTACCTGCTGATTATAAACAGAAGCAAGGGTAAGATACGGCAGTAGAGTGTCAGGATGTGATAATTACTAGGGTCGCTTTTTCATGTTGTTTTGGGCTGGGCCTGCAAAGAATTGTCCTAATACTGGGGTGAGAGATAATGTTTCAGTATGTACCGTGCTGAGAAATGTGGTTTGAATTCTATTAATTATATTGCAAGCGAGTAAGTAAATCAAGACTTGCTGTGTTGCAGTAGTTATATATGGATTCTTCAGCACCTCACTGATTTCACAGGTGTGTAATGGAATGTCGCTGTGCTTACATCTTCAGTATATGATGTTACATCATGGGAATGATGAGGTCTTTAGCTGATTTGTTTCATCATACCTGGCAGTATGTCTTTGTGTTCTTGTCTCGTAAATTGTTTCTTCTGGAATGTATTGTCTTCTGCAGTCCTTTGGGTAAAACCCCCATAGTCTCTATTCCTCTGAACCCTATGGTTAGAAAAAAAGTGAAAATTGTATTTATATGTGGCATTTCTTTGATTCTTAAACTGGATTAATCTTTCGGTGTGTATCTATCAAAGACATTTCAGTCAAGGAGTCTGGTTGAAAAAATGA